CGTTAGCCCATCGCAGATTCGCCTGGGAAAGCCTGCAGTTGGTGTCGCCCGCAGGCCTGGATGCAGAAGGAGCTGCAGGTGAGCAGCTGGACCGGCCTCTACGGCAGCCGCGGTTCTTCGTGGAGATGGACGGATGGGACCCCCTTCGACAAGGCCTTGCAGCGGTAAAATGTTCCCGCCTGACCCTTCCACCACTCGTGTGGGGCAAGTCAGTTCAGAGGGGAAGGCGCGAGGGGCAGGTGAGCCGCTGTGATGCAGGGCGCACGCTTAGACATGAGTGGGGACCGCGCCCTTGGCACCTCGGTCGAGCGAGCGAGCCGGCGCCGTGGGCCGCAGTCCTGAGCCTTCTCGGGCCGGTCGCAGTGAGTCGCGCTTCCGCGGCACGGTCCTCCTCACCGCATCTGTTTGGTGCCGAGAGCGGCACAGGTCCGTGCACATCGATCCTGTAATTCTTACAATGACCCTGTGGATCAGGGAGGTATTGCCGTCCGGCCCCTGGGATCGTCGCGTGGCACCCTGACCCCACGCCGTGTCATAAGTGACGGTCTTGCTGGGCTCGGGGGCGATTGCTCTCCTGCTTAACGTGGAGCGAGCTCGCGGCCCTCGAGGTCCTGCGAAACACATGCAAGCCTTGGGACCTCACGCGGACGTGCCCGCAAGGAGGCCTCTGTGAGAGGCTGCCTCTCGCCCACCTGCTTTGCCCGCAAAAGGGGCCGAAGGGCTCGCACGGGCTCCCTGCAGGGCCCGAGGGCGGAACTAGCGAGCGGCTCCAGCGCAGCCACGGAGCAGGAGTTTCTCTTAAGGGGTTGGCAGAGAAGCTCGTAAGAAATTCCGGCTAAGTGGCTCAGGCTGCAGGAAGTCCAAATGAGCATTCCGTGGCCCGTCTTGCGGTGTGTTTTCCCTTGAATTGGCAAGCTTGGATCTTGTGCCGCTTAGCCCAGCTGCTCACGAAACAGCTTCAGAAACCTTGGTGAAGGTCAGACGGGACTGAACGCAAGTCAAGCAGGGGGCGCGAAGCTGGGCCTTTCAGAGGTGGGATTCTGCGGGGTGGGGAAAGCCTCGTGCTTGCTGACGTTCCTTCCCCCCTCTCGTTGGACCCAGCTTCGCCTTGTTCCGGGGCCGTCCCGGCCCGGCATCCTGCGTGCTCGCCCTGCCCTCCGGCTTCCTGAAGGCTGAACCGTGCCAGCGCCCGCATCGGTGGATGTGCCAGGCCCCGCGCCAGAGCGGTAAGAGGAGCCGCCCTTGCTCGCCGGTGGGGGGGAGCCCTCCCAGACACATGGGTGTTTGGCAAATGATCTGTCAGTGAAAACACCTGCGCCCCACCTTTCTGCCCCACATGAGGGGCTCTCGGCATCCCCAGGCTCCATGCACAGACAGGTAAACATGGAGAATCAAACAACGGAAACAACAACACTCTGCAGGACAAAAATGCCAGAACCAGTTGCTACCTGACAGTTGTAGGCGTTGCCAAGCTTCAAAGGCCAAGTTTTGCCCGGTGTTTGAAGGCATGGGGCGCCGAATTGCGCTGGGTGCCACCACCCAGAAGGCCTTCTCCGGCTCCCACCCGACCCTGCTACTCCTCATGTGGGGCAGAGAGCAGTGGTACGAGGCAAGGCGATGTGGGAAGAGGCGGTCCCGTGACAGCACTCCTGCGCCAAGCGGAGGCTGCCGGGGGCGGGGAGTCTGGAGCTGCCCCTGGGCATCTTTGGGCCGCCTCCGGAGGCTCCTCTGGCTCGGCCCTTGGCCACGCTTCCCTCCCACTCCGCCTCTCTTTCCTTTCCTGTCCAGATTTATACGTGGCCTTCCCAGGGAAATCCTTCTACGGTCCCCAGCCTGTGGATCGGAGCTTCCCCACGTTGCACGCAGCCCGGCGGGAGTGCACCGCTCTGGGGACGGGCTGCAGTGCCGTGGTCAGCACTGCCGCCGGCCACCGCCTCAGCCTGGGCACGCGGCTGGTCCTCCTGGCAGACCCTGCTGCCGAACCGGCTGCTGCCGTGCATATCAAGTCAGCCTGCTCCCCCGGCTATTCCGGGCAGGACTGCCAGTCCATGTGCCCCCGCTGCGCGCCCGGCCTGAGCTGCAACCCACTGACAGGCCACTGTGACGGCTTCCTCCATTTCCGAGCGGCGCCTGGTAAGCGAGGAAGGACGCGGGCGGCAACGGCACCGGGCCGGGCCGGGCTCTCGGCAGCCTGCCCCAAGCATGGCCCGCCCAGCGGGCCTGACGCTGCCTCCTGTGTGTCTTTGGGCCACCTGCCGGGGTGCCTCCGACTGGGCGCTTTGCATCTTGCGTGGCCGGGACAATCCGCCCAGCGCGTCGCTTCTTTGCTGGGCCACCAAGTGACAGCGGGCCCCTTTGCACAGTGGCGTACACCTCTCTGAAATGCCTGCCCCTCGGCGTTTGGGTGTTCAAGCGCGGAGTCTGCCTGTCCTTGGAGCACTTCCGCAGCTGGGATGAAGCGGACGCCACCTGCAGGAGGTACCTGGGTGCCACCACACAGAAAGTGCGGCCTCCTCTGGGCGAGGTGAGCAGCGCCGCCTGTTCTCCCTCGCCCTCACCTGTGCCTGCACGAGGGGCGTGCGAAGCCCCCCCCCCCCAGCAGAAGCCCTGCGAGGATTCCTGAGCCACGTGGGGCGTCTTGAGCGCGAAAGGCACGAGCGGCGTGCTTGGCGACCATCACCGTCTTGTCTTGGCCAGGTCCCCGGTGGCTCTTCTGGAGGCGAGAGAGCCCACCTTGACCCGGGCGGCTTCTTCTGGGTTTGCCAGCGAGCCGAAGGTAGGTGCCCCTGAGCGGTCCTGGGAGCGCTATTCAAAAAAGAGAGACGGCTGGGAAGCTCCTCGGCACACGAGGCTTTTCAAAAGCAAGGCTTCGGCACCATCCCTTGCTTGGTACCAGGTGTCTCAGGGCATTTTCAGTCGGGGGGGTCATTAAGCCTCCCGCACAGCACAAGCTTTCCCATGTCTAAGTGGCTGGTCTTCATTTCACATGCTTCATATGTGCAGGGCTGCTGCTGACCTGGCTTCAGCTGGAGGGCGGCCCCCCGAGCCGGGGCTCCCCGGCGCGGCCTGAAGCGAGGCGCACGAGTCGCCCCCGCCATCCTTGGGGGACCAGGCAGGGCCGCAGCACTCCGGGGCAGCTCCACTCGGCCCCGGCCCTTGCGCATCCCGAGTGGAGCGTTCACCTCCTTTCCCTTCCGGCGCTCCCACCTTTGTCCTGCAGATGTAGCGCCGCTGTTGCTCGGAGAGAAGCTGCTTGTCCCCCTCCAGGGCTCGGCTCCTTGGCAGCGCTGGGCTTCGCTGCAGGAGGCCCAGGAGACCTGCTACCTGCGCGGGGAGCGCTGCACCGGTGTGCTGAGCCTGAGAGGGGCCCACTACACCGTGGCCGGCACGGTGCTGGCGGAGAGCCCTGGCTCAGGGGCCGCCCTCCTGCTGAAGCCAGGTCAGCAGCGGCCCTGCACCCATGACCGTCGGCACGGGGTTGTGGGTGGGGGCGGCCCGGCTCCCTCCTCTCCTGCCAGCGAGCAGGGCCACCCGGGCTCCCCGGCCCAACTGCCCTGCACCGCCAGGCATTTCCCAGCTCGGAAAGGATGTGGCCACCTGGCCACCCAAAAAGCCGTGACGGTTCACCCGTCCTTTGGCTTCTTAAGCATCGCGTTCCGCCTTCAGGGAGTGTGATCCTTGATGCTGAGGAGAGCATCCTCAGGCTGCAGGCGCCGAAGCCGGGCACGTGCGATCGCTGCCGGGATCGTTCTGCAGCTCTGCCTCGGGTCCCGGCCCACCCTGACCGCGGCCTCCTGTGCTTCCAGCCTGCTCCCCCGGCTTCTGTGGGGACCGCTGCCAGAGGCGCTGCTCGCCCTGCCTGGGCACCCAGCTGCACAACCCGCTGACGGGCGGCTGCGATGGCCGCCTGAGCTGCGTGCGCCGCTTCAGCCCCTCGTGCCCGCATGGTAAGCGACTGCGGCCGTGGCTGAGCTGGGTGCGCGAGCGGGCAAAGGCCGGCCTGCTTTTGTCCTGCCCAACCGCCACGGTGAGTGTTGGGTCGCTGTTTGCAGCCCCTGCAGCCCCCTGCGCCTCACGCGGCCTGTGCTTGCTCCCCAGGACTGGTGCACTCCCGGTGCCCGCAGCAGCCCGGCTGGTGGTTCTGGGGCGGCCACTGCTACTACGTCGAGGAGCAGAGCACCAAGGACTGGCCGGGGGCCAGAGCGGCTTGCCAGGCATACGGCTTCGGCATGGAGCTCCTGGCTCTGTGCAGCGCCGAGGAGAAGGCACGGATGCGGGCGGGCGGGCGGGCAAGCCGGGACAGGCCCAGGGGCAGGGGCTGCTGCGGGGAGTGGGGGGCGGCTGGTCCGTGGTGCCTAGGGGAGGGCAGGGCTGCCGCCCTGCTGGCCCTGTTCTGCTCAGGCGGTGGCCCCCGGCCCCCACCCCCATTCAAAGTCCCTAGCCACTTTATTCATCTGCGAACAGGGATGCCTCAACTTCCCCCTTGCTAACTCACCCCAGCTTTAAACCACAGTAACAAAAACTTTCTCAAATGTAAACAAGTAGATGGCCGAAAAGTGTCACTGGATCGCTGCCCCTTGGGGCGTCTGCTTGGGGGTGCGAGATCAGGCCAGCTGCTCCCCCTCCCACCTGCCGCTGGGTGTGGGTGGGGGGCTGCTCCCCCCAGCTGGAACCCCGAACGACGCAGACTTGCATCCCTACCTGGCCCCTGTTGCTGCTGTTGTGTGCCGCCAAGTTGTCTCCAACCGACGGCGGGCCAGAGTACAAAATGCCTCAGAACCGCCCGATCCTCATTCAGCTCTTGGGAGTTCGAGGGGGTGCCTTCAGTAAGGAGCCGCTCCATCTTCCTTTCCCCCTCTGCCTTCCCACTGCGGTCTGTGCCCTTCCGGCTGCGTCTTGACCGGAGGGGCTGAGCAGAGGCCAGCTGCTGTCACAGAGCCACAGCCGCGCCGGGAGTCGCCCGTGCTGGCGCAGCCGGACAAGTCCCTTTCCCTCCCCAGGCCTGGGTAGCAAACATGGTGCCAGAGCGGGGCTGGACCGGGCTGAACGACGCAGACCACGACGGGACGTGGACGTGGGCCGGGGGCCAGGTGGCCAACCTGTCTTCGCCCTGGTGAGTCCTCTGGGGCAGGCAGCCCAGCTCCTGCCCTCAGCATCCCAAGGCGGGGTGGGGGTGGCTTCTGTCTGGGCACCGCAGGCGGTTAACGCTGGCACGCCTCCTCTTCTGGACACACGGCCCTGGTGTGACCGACGGACGGGAACCTCCCAGCCGGCGGAAGCCTCTCGTTCCTTCCCGGGCAGCTTCGGAGGGAGCAGCTCCAGCCACGGGGACACGGGGATGGAGGGAGGAACCACATCCCCAGAAGTGCACCCTCAAATGGCAGGCTGGCCACTCCGCCCCATCTCCCCACAGTACCCGCGACCGTTCTCTCTGTATCCGGAGGGAAACTTTGGCTCGTGCGGGGAGACTGGGGCCGCCTGCCCTTCCTCCGTGCCCCCGCAGCGCTTCTTTCCTCCCCTGCTAGGCTGGCTGGTGTTCAGCTCACGCCTGGGGGCTGCCTGGAGGTCAGACTCCGGGGAGAGGAGACTTTGGCTGTGTCACCATGCTCCGAACGGAAACCGTGGGTCTGCAAGGGGACTTGGGGTAAGCGCTCCGCCGGACCCTTGCCGGCGTCCAAGAGGCCGGGGCATCACTGCCCTCGGCAGGCGTCTGAGGGGCCTTCGCTTGCCCACGGGCCAGACCGGGCCTCCGCCACTCCTGCTCAGCTGGTCTTCCTCTGTGCTTCAGCGCCCTGGAGCTCCTGCCCCACAGCACCCGGGTGGAGCGGCTGGAATGGCAGCTGCTACTTCTGGCAGCCCTCGTCGGTCAGCGGGTGGCACGGAGCTCTGCAGGCCTGCCGGCGGTTCGGGAAGACCGAGCTGCTGTACCTGGACTCGCTCCAGGAGAAGGTACGGCTGGGCAAGCCAGGAGCCGGGCACCCGGGTGGCCGGTGCCGCTCCCGCAACGCGGAGCCTGCTTCTAATCGCGCCCACAGGGTGGAACAAAGGGCTCCCTGCACGCTCCCTGGCTCTCGAGAGCGCAAACGCCTTCCCCGCCCTCTCCAGGCACGCGCCCCGGCATGGCGTGAGGCCACCTGCGACGCTCCCCCTTCCCTCCCGCAGGACTGGGTCTGCTCGACCTTCCCCGGCTCCTTCTGGACCGGCTTGAGTGACCTGAGGGAGGAGTCCATCTTTCTCTGGAGCACACGGGAGCCTGTGGGCGAGCGGCTGGCCCAGTGAGTGTGGGCTGGGGACCCCCAGGGTGACGGGCTCGCAGCGAGCTGCACCAAGCCACGTCGCCCCACTGTGCTCTGCCCCGCCGTGCTGCCCAGCGGCTCCGTCGCACCTGAGGCTGTGGAGACGGTTCTGCCCTGAGCAGGGGCGTGATGGCGCCGAACCCCCTCCGGTCCGGAGAACCTCCCGGGCTCCTTCCTCAGGCACCCGCCGGCTTCCCAGCGTCCACAGCGTCCTTGGGAGACGCGCCGCGTCAGCAGGAGCAGCTGAGTGAGCAGCTGGCCTTGCGGGCCTGGTGGGAAGAGGCTTTCTTTCTATGGGAGCCTCTGCCGATCCTCTTCTCCGAACTGGCACCACGGCTGCCTGGGGGCCCTGTAGATTTTGTGCTTTTCTAGAGTGAAAGACCTGCAGGGAGCCAGCCCGTCGGAGCGCTCCCCTGGGGACACGCTTCCCCACTCCCGGGAGCGCACCTGACCCCCTTCCGTTTGCTCCTGTGGGGCAGGTACTTGCGGGACGACCCGGCAGACGGCGGCCTGAAGGACTGCGTGTGGCTTGACGCGGGAACCGGGCTGCTGCACGATGCTCGCTGCGAGGAGGAGAGGCCCTTCCTGTGCAAGGCCGCCGAAGGTGAGCGAGCCGGAGCCGGAGCCAGCTGCCCTCCCCGTACCTCTCCCGGGGTAGCCGCCCATGGGTGCCGGCCTCTGGGCAGCCCGCGGGACCACAGAGGGCCAAGACTGTGGGGCGCCTCTTGCGGGTCCTTCCAACGGGCTGCTTCCCCTTCATTCCCTCCTCAGAGGGCTCCTCCTGCATTCGCAGGGATGCCCCACGGAAAGGGCCCTTGCCCCACACAAAGACCAGGGCTGTCCCCGCCGGCCCCCGCCCCACATGAGGCTGTGCTCTGCCTGCTCCTTGCAGCCCCCATTGCGGAACCTCCGTCCGGAGAGCTTTTGTCTCGCTTTCCCGGCTTCAATCCTTAAAGTTGTGAGTTGCCCTTCCTGGATTTGCTGGTATTTTCTTCCACCTGGCACATCGCTTTCCATGGGGTTTTCCCGTGTGTTGTGTGAGCTGCTTTAAGGCCCCGTTTCAAGCACAAAGAGTGGCACATGAATTGCAGAGCTGTGGCGACGGGCACGCGATTCTGCTGCGGTGGCTACTCTCCCGATCCCGCAGGATCGGTGCGGGGCGCCCCTTGACCCGCCGCGTCTCCCTCCTAGGCCTGGACCGGTTCGAGGAGTGGCCCGGCCGGGGCGTGGCGGGGGACCCGGGGCCACTCTTCCCCTCCGCGGAGGGCCTGGCGCAGGCACGGCAGGCCTGCTTGCTGCACCGCCGGGAGTGTGCCGCCGTCCTCCAGACCGGGTCGGGGTTCTACCTGCTCGCCTCCACGGAGGGGCTTGTCCCCAGGGCGGACTCAACGCTCTTTGTGTGGACCAGTGAGTGTGGCGTCCTTGGGCGGGGGGGGGGGCGGGGGGAGCAGCCGCTCCGCCGCTGAGGGGGCAGAGCCAGCAGTGCCCTGCGGCCTGGGGGCTGAGCAGCTCCGCGAGGTGTGGCAGGACGGGGGGGGGGGAGAGGCGGCCCCTCCCGCGTCCTGCTCGGGAGCCTTCGCAGGCGCTTCCCGGCCGCCCGTGGGAAGGGGAGGCTGCGCCCAGGGGCTCCCACCCCAGCCGGGCTCCTCTTACGGGGCGGGGGGGGCGACGGCAAGGCCCAGTGCTGAGCCGTGAGTCATTGCGGGACGCCTGCCGGCTGGCTCCGAGGAGGAGAGCAGGAAGCGGGTCGTCCCCACCCCGGCTGCGGGGAGCCTGCCCCTCTCGCCCCCGCCGAGGCTTCTCCAGGAGCCAGCAGATGTGCGAGCAGCAAAGCCGGCGCAGCTTGCCCTGCAGGACCGGCAGGGGCGTCTGCCGGGTGCCCAGCTGCCGCGCTGCTCGTTCCCTGCCGTCGCGCAGAGCGCCCCTGGCCCTTGGCGTCCCTGGGCTCCGCCAGAGTCGCCCTCCCGACTGCGTCCCTCGCAGCCGCTGGGGTGCAGGGCTGCCCCTCGCAGGCGCCGCGTGCTCACCGCCGGGTCTCTTTCAGTCTGCGCAGAGGGCTTCGCTGGCCCAGCCTGCCGCACCACCCTGGCACGTGCGCCCCGGCCGGCCTGCGACTGCAGCGGCCGCTTGCAGACGTCCGCCGGGAAAGGTGCGGCCTTCCGGAGGGCGGGTGGCCCGTGCCGGCCTGGTGGTCCTCCGCGGGAGGGGGCCTCCCTCTTGCCACCGTGGGGTTGCCAATTCCCCGGCCGGCCCGAGCGTGGTGCAGGCTGGGCCCACCTGGGAGGCGGTCCTGGCCTCGGCTGACCCCTTCACGGAGACAGCGTGTCCTGCTGCTTTGCCGCTTTGCAGTGTGCGGCGTCCCGGTGCAGGCCTGCGTGGACGACTGCCGGCGAGTGACCAGCTGGGCCAACTGCTCCGCCTGCCTGCCTTCCTGCACCGGTGAGTCGGGGAGCCGGGGAGACGTGGGGCTCCCCGCCTTCTCACGCCCCTCCGGGGGCCGCGTCGCGCCTGGGTAGGAAGGGCCCTCCCGTGCCTTTGCTGCAGCCCCGCCTGTCTCTCCCGCCCCCCAGAGGCCAGCGTGAGCCAGCTGGAGCCAGAGCAGCTGGCCCTCGTCGCCATGGCCAGGTGGAGGATGTCGCGCTCCCTCAATCTCACCACGGAAGACAAACAGGACCGGGGAAGCTCCTCCCGGATCATTTATGACACTGGGCACCCGTGACATGTCACCCACCCGAAAAGGGAGAGCACAGGGCCAATAAAAGTGTTGTGGGGTTTCTCATGCGCCTGCTGGAGTTCTTTGACATGGGCACCAAGCATGCCAAGGATCCCGGGGGATGTGGGAGACGTCCAGCAGGGCCCTGGCCAAGTCCCCTCCAGGGGCTCCCGAGCCAGAGCGGAATGGGGACCGCAGCCCAGCTGCAGGCGACCCTGGTGAGCGGCAGCCTCCTTTTGGCCCGTCACAGGAGAGAGGCTCCCTCTGAGCCGGCGAGCTCCGTGGAGGGGCCCCTCCGGCCTCAGGGTCTGGCCCAGCCGAAGCCCGGCGGCCACCGCCCCCTGCCTCCGCGCACACTTTGTGGGCCCGGAAAGGCTGCGGGGCGCCTGCGTGGCCTCGCCTGGGCGGGGGGGCCGGGCCAGGTGAGCTGGAGCCGGCTTGTCCAGGGTGGCCTGGCAGGGCTCCCTAGCCGGAGACAGCCCGGGCCAACGAGGAAGTTGTGGCTTTGCCCCTTGGCAGACGGAGCTGCTCTGTGGAAATATTTGCCAAGGAAGAGGCGCTCCACCCAGGATTAGCTGCACGCCGAAGAACAGGAGCAGCAGAGCGGTGCGAGCCGCACGGAGCCGAGGCTGCCGGGGGGAACTTTGGACGCAGGAAGCGGGCCGGGCTGCGGAGGGGAGCGGTGCCGGCTGCGGCCCATCCCCGTGCCTGGCCGGGCGGCCCTGCCGGTCTCCCCGGCTGGAGGAAGGTGCCTCGGGAGTCCAGACGGGGGGGAAGAGGCTTCTCCGGGCACACGGCACTTGCCTCATGGCCTGGCGCGGGCGAGACCAGCGCGCTCCCTGGCCAGCCTCAGGCGGCAGCAGGCCAGGCGGCCCGTGCGGGCCGTGGCGCCGCCTCCTCTTCACCGTGGCCCTGGTCTGCCCTCTGCCCGCGGCCTCGGGCTGCCCGGACGTGTGCCTCTGCTCCTCCGGGGAGGTCAACTGCGTGGAGCACAGGCTGCGCTTTGTGCCCCCCGACCTGCCGGCCAACGCCACCAGCATCCTGCTGGACTACAACCACATCGCCGCCCTCCAGAACCACACCTTCGTGGCCCAGGGCGCCCTGCGCCGCCTGAGCCTGCGCAGCAACGCCCTGGCCTGCATCCACCCCCAGGCCCTGGCCGGCCTCGGCCAGCTGCAGGAGCTGGACCTGAGCGGGAACTACCTGAGCGCCCTGCCGCCGGAGGCTTTCCTCCCGGTGCCGGCCCTGATCCGGCTCGACCTGGGGCACAACAGGCTGCAGGAGCTGAAGCCGGAGCTGCTGGGGGCCCTGCCTCGCCTCCGGGACCTGTCCGTGCACGGCAACGCCCTGGCCTCCGTCTGGCCGGGCACCCTCGAGAGCCTGCCCGCCTTGCGCCGCCTCAAGCTGGACGGGAACCCCTGGGCCTGCTCCTGCGGCATCCAGCCCCTCTTCCAGTGGCTCGTCAGCAACGCGGACAAAGTCCCAGGTAAGCGGAGCCCGGGCAGGCGACACGGGCACTCACCTGCGGCGCGCCTGGGGAGGGAGGCTGAGTCTTCGGAGGGCTCACAGAGGTCAGGGTGTTCTGCTCGGCTGATTCCACCCGCGTCTTGCTCTGGGGACTTCCCCCCGTTCCTGGCACTCTCCCAGCCTCGGAGCCGGCCGGGAAAGACGCTGCCGAAGCCGCAGGGCCTGCGGAGCAGGCTCTGTGCTTGCCTTCTGCTTGCCCCCTTTGCCGATAAGCCCCCCGCAAGCCCCCCCTCCACTGGGGAGAACCCGACGGGAACCGGCACAGGCGGCCGAAGCGACCAGGCCGGTGCCGTGAGCCTCCCTCGGTCCGCCACCGGCTGGCTGGGAGGTCTTTCGGCCAGGTGCGAGGATGTGCATGCGGCCTGGAGCAGCGCGTCCAGCGCCACACGGACCCCCCTCGAGATCCCGCTCTCGGCTGGCGAGGGGGATGCAGCGCTTCCGCCGCACGGGGGGGCCTGGCTGTGGGAACCCCCGCACTTGTTCTGGGAGGCGACCTGCTGGTCTGACCCAGTTTCCAGCGGGGGGAGGCTCCTCTGGGTCAGCCGCCGCACCTGGGGCAGCGCGTGTGGCCTGCTTCGAGTGCGTCTCCCCTCCTTCCTTCCTCTCTTTCCGCAGAGGTGAATGCCGTCTCCTGCCAGCGCCCAGCGTCCCTGGCCCAGCACCCCATCGCTGCCATCAGCAACGCCTCGTTCGCCCGCTGCCAGGAGGCCTGGCTGCGCCCCCGCGACTACGCCGTCTTCCTGTTCGTCGGCCCGGCGGCCTTCCTCGCCAGCATCTGCTTCTGCGTCCTCCTCGGCTCCCTGGCAGTGGCCCGAGAGAGGCAGGCGGCCATGTCCTACATTCGGCCCGGGGCGTTGGCGAGGCGTGCAGAACGGAGCCCACGCCAGGCGAGCTGAGCCCCCCGAGCGCGGCTCCTTCGCTCTTGAAGCGGCCCTTCTCACGCGCTCTCCTCTTTGGCTTTGATGGCATCTGCCCACGTGGGTCGTGGGGGTTTCTGCTCTGCCTGGCCTTACCAGGCGTGCCCTTGGCGGAGGCCGCTGCTCCCCAGCCCGGCTGCAGGGCAGGCAGCCGGTGGGAAGGGAAGAGCGTGAAGCAGCAGGAGGGGCAGAGGCTTTCCCCCCACCGCCGGCCTTGGCATTTCCTCCCTCCAGCTATGCCTCTGTCCAAGGCGGAAGGCCCTTGCAAGGGGAGGGGGCGGCATGAGGGCGGCGTGGGGGCCCGTTGCTTCGGGGTGCTTTTCGGCTTCCACGACCGGCTCAGCCGGGAGCCAGCCGTACCACAGGAGCCAGTGGGGTCCTATAAAGCAGCTGGCCTTGGCCCAGCTCCTCAGCGATCGGCCTCGACAGCTGTGGGGCACAGCCTGCCTGCGAGGGTGCGGACGGGGCACCCACGGCTTCTAGTCCGCCCTTGTGGGAAAAAGATTTGGCCGTTCGCGCAGCGGCAAAGGTCGCGTCCGGGCCGACCTCAAGACACAGGCACGCGTCTCGATCCTGCGGAGATGGCTTGTCTTCGAAGGGTCCGGCTTCCGGCTTTCTCCCGCAAGGAAGTGATTCTGCCGCCGCCGCCTCTTCTCTCCCAGTTAAGGCACTGGGCAGAGAGGAGGCCTGGCAACGCCGAGTGCTTGCGGGCCCCATCCCGCCCTCCCTCCCGCCTCCTGCTGGCAAATTGTGTTGCTCCCTCTTCCTCTTTCTGCCGCAGACTCCACCCCAGCTCGCTGCCTCCGTTTCTGGCAACTCGCAGCCCTTCCAGCTGTTGCAGCCTGGCCGTGCCATTGCATGCGTGGTACAGATCCCCTGATGGGCGGCGGAAGACCTGGCGTGTGAGTCTGCCAGCCTGTAAAAATAGCCTGTGTCTTGGATCACGGCGGCCGGCGTGTGCTCGTTGCAGAGGAGCTATCCCTCGAAGCGATGCCAAGCCTTTGCGTTTCCCAGAAGGGTCTGCTGCGTAACCTTTGGGGCACTGAGGCCAGGGGTCGGAAGGGGCCAGCGGTCTCCGCAACGCCGGGTGACGCTGGGCAGAGCCGAGGCTGAACAAGCGGCCGCCGGACGGGAGCTGGGTGAGTCAGAAGCGAAAGCGCAGAGTGGAGAGCGGAGTCTGGCGGCGCCTCTTCTTTGCAGCTGGAGCCAAACTGGGGGGCCGCTAACGCCACCCCCCACCTCTCCCTCCACGCTCACCACCGAAAACATCTGTAAAACTGGCGGCCTTTCTTAAGCCAGCTTGAGTCAACACTGCAGGCGCCAGAGAGGGAAGAGCGATAAATGGGAGTCTGTGTGTGTTTGCGCCCTGTCTCCTGAGCCGCCGGAGAGGCCTGTCCCGCAGCAGCACTGCACAGATGGGGCTCGGCCCAGGCTGCCCGTTCCACATGCCGAGGGCACCATGAGCGGCATCCGCGGCAAGGGCAGTCGCTGTCGTTGGCAGAGCGGCGATGGCCCTGCAGGCAGAAACCGGGAGCCGAGGCCAAAGAGGGAGCACACCCTCCCGCAATCTCCGCTTCCTTGCTGTTGCTTCTGCGTCCACGCACGACGGGCTCCGACCCAGGTGTGGCCTTGTGCCCGCGTCTCACGCTTTGAACAGACATCCCACTTCCTAAAAAAGGTTCAGCCAACTAGCATTTTTATCCAGGTAATGGTTTATTTGGTGCCCAAATTTTACATCCACTCCAGTTCACTCCACTATTGAAGCTGAAAAAGTACTCTGAGGGATAGGGGTAGCTTTGCGATTGTCACAAGCAAAGCCAATCTTCAGTCTTGCCAGCTGGCTCCTGAAGGAAAGGCCTTTATAACTCTTGCCGTGACCAGTTAATCATCCGGATTCTGCTGAAAACCTTAAGGACCAGTCCTTCTTTGGCACAACTCTGTTTGGGAAGCCGAGCACGGCTCCAGAAGCCTCTGCTCCCAGGCTATATGCAAATACTGATCCAAAATAAAAGGTTATTTGGACTTCCACATTTTTCATAAGCATACCCTGCTCATGTTTAACATTTTTAAAGAAACAAATGGATTCCTCATATTTTATTTGATTTTAACGAAGTAAATAAAAAACCCACAGCCTCCTGTATGAAGGCGGAATCAGTCGGATTCTAACAGAAGTGTTTGTGCTGACATGCTGTGGCTTTTCCTTGACCGAACAAGGATGAAACAAGTGAAATGTGTATCAGATTTAAAAGCTAGGAAAAGGATGGATAACTGCTAAGCAATTGCGTGTGTTCTGATACAGAGAAATGAAAGATAACGTACAATATGTAAAGAGGACTTATGAAAGAGAATCATGTGGAATCTTCCATTGAACAGGGAGCTAATAAATATGGGAGCAATCCTTTGGTCCCCCCAGACAGTGCTGGAGGGGCCACACATTGGTTGGGATTCCCTGCTGCAAGCGGGGAGACACTGCTCGGGCCTCGGGGCTGGGGACTGGCGCTCCACCAGTGGGAAGAGCCGCTCGGGCTGCCTCCTTCCGGCCAGGAGGGCAGCCTTAGGGAAGGGCAGCGTGGGGCGTTTTGTGGGCTGGGAGGGGAGCGACTGGAGAGGCTGGGATGTGGGGCCTCCCCGGTCTCTGTCCCTCCCATTCAGCAGTGCGCTCTCTGCACAGGCAACGAGGCCGCCTGGCAAAAGCTCATGGGCTCATATCCTAGAATGCTTTCCAAAGCATTGATCAAAACTGTGATGAAACAGAAAAAAAATCCTTCTTCGTTTGGAACAGACACCAGCACCTCAACAGACGTCATTTACGTACAAGAGCGAAAACGCAGGAGCTCAGCCCAACGTTCCCAGGTCGCTGCCCCGGCACGTAGCGCACGGCTCCAGGCCTCACCTTGGCTGCTCCGCTCGGCTTTGCTTCACGCTCATTCCTGCCATGGAGGCAAGATGCATTGCTCTTTAACACGCAGGCAGTGCTCCTGAAATTAATCTTTCGTTGCGTTTTGCTTATAACCTCTTGGTATTTTTATACATGCACGGCTGCGATACAATAAGATATAGAAAACTGCTAATGAGTTTAAAGTAAAAAATGAGAAGGCATGTCCGATCTCAGAGTCCTGTATTTCAAAAAGTCTGGGGTTTATATCAGGAATGTTACAAATGTGTAGGTGGCTGGAATACAGGGAGCACGCGATTGCTGAGCCACGAGGACAAAACTCCCGCCTCACAAGAGCCCTGGACAAGGAGCGATGTGGCACAGGCATGACCCTGCGGCGGGGACCCCAGCGGGACCTCGGGTGCCTGCAGGCAGATTTTCTTCAGACCTCAGCCTTAGATGTTGCAGGCGAGGCTGCACCTGTTCTCCACTTGAAAAGCAAGCAAATCAGTCACAATTTAACGAATCGACGATGCCTGCGATTTCTCTCGTTTTGTGCCAGTTCTCCTCCTCCTGCAAAGAGGGAATCCAGGCATCCGAAGAGCAGCCTGTAACTCTTCCTTGGCCACCGGAGAATCTTGACAGCTCGGTGTGCGTCCTTCACCCACCTTTTAAGCACAGGCACTTACCTGGGAGTGAGCCCCACTGAATTCAAGGGGGCTTACTTCAGATGGGGAGGTTCAATTCCCCAGGAAGGCGAATCTGGCAGTAAAAGCCACATTTTCTTTTGTTGCTTTAAAAAAAACGAAATCATCGAGCCGCGAGTAGGACAGCTGGAGCATGCACGAAGCTCGCAGGCCAGCGTTCCGTCTTTTGTGGTGTTGTGCAAGGCCAGGTCTACAGTGAAAAGACGGCCTGCTTTTTCCTTCTCAGCCAGAATCTGAATAATGAAGACACACAGGTACGCGTGGCAACTGTATATGAAATTCATTGAGGACTATTCGTCAGCTGTTACAAAAACCCCACAGTACATGTATTAATAAATATGAGTATTATTCATAGTGATCAGAAGTTGATGCCCCGGCAGGAATTCCACACACACAGAGGGCTATTTACAGAAGGACCTGGAGCGGCTGCGGCACACGCTCACGATCACAGACTCTGGCCGGCAGCGTGCCTACTTACCCAGCAGTCATTCCCATCGTATTCAGAGGGGCTTACTTCTGAGCAGACAAGCACGGGACGGCGCGGTGTTTTACTAACGCAGTGGGCACCCCATGCCCCAGTGCTGCACCCCGGACTGTGGAACTGGACCATGATCCCGATGGAAGGAGGGGCCTAAAGAGAGGGGCAGTGGGGGGCCGCCGGGTGGTGGCTCAGGGGCTGTGAGGAGCAGGCAGCTTCCGTGGGCACCCAGGGTGGCCTAGTCCACGTCCAGCAGCGCTCCTGCGTGCGTCCGGGCTAGTGCTGCTCTGCGGCACATCGCCGCCGCCGGGCGGGGAGAGAAAGCACGAGGGCACTTGGAAGGTGAGGGGCTGTGGCAGAGCCTGCCGGTCCTGGCCTCCTGGACCCTTCAGCTGCCGCAGAATACGGCCCAGCCTGGCCCCAGGGCGCCATGGCTTGCCAACCTCTGAGAGCTTCTGGCTGCCCTTTTGCAAAAAGGGGCCGCTGGGAAGAAAGGGGCCACTGGTGGGTTGCCATGGCGAGCGCAGGTGGCTTTGAACCCAGGGTTAGGATCCTGGGTTCGCCACTGAGCACTTGATGGGTGCTACATAAAAGCTGCCTCAATCGCCTTCACGACCGTCCTGGAAGGTGGGCCAGAATTCGAAGCCCCGCTGAGTGGGCAGGTGGCACGGCTGGGACTGACTTGCTTCTGACCCTTCAGGTGAGTAAAAGAGGGAAATTCAATGGTTAGGGACTTCTTTTGGTTATTCTCGCTGCCCGTGGCAGCACCGTTCTCGGGGCAGGGCGCTGGGCTGCTCAGGGACCGCATGCAGCGCCACGGATGCACTTCCTGCCTCCCGGGCCTCGGGGCCCGAAGGGGCAAGCCAGCCTCGGGATGGGGTGCCCGCCTCGCCCACGGAAGGGCTGCCGGCTCATTCCCTGACTCTTGCATTTCACACAATTTCAGCCAGCAGGACGGAGCAGGTGCTGCTGCCGGTCCAAACTGGCAAGAGGAGGGCCGAGGAAAGGACGGCCGGTGCTGGTGGCTCCAGGTGCCGCGTCCCCAGAGACGGAAAGGTGAGCGCGGCTGCTGAGGAGAGGGCCTGGGGGGAAGAGGCCCGGACTCACACAGGAGCCGCTGCAAAGCCCACGGGCAGCACGGTCCGTGCGCAGGGGAGCGCTGGGGATGTCCCGGGAAGGCCAGTGGCGGCTCCGGGGCTCGGACCCTTCCCAAAGTCGGCGGGAAGGGGTGCCGCAGCAGAGCGCTCTCGCTTCGCATGCATCCTGGGGGCGTCCTGACCCCCCCTTGACAGGGGATGCTCGGAGAGACCCTCCCTGCTGGTCAAGCAAGATGGACCGCGGGGCTTGAGCTGGCACCTGTGGAGTTCAGCACGTGAACGGCTTTCTGCTTTCGTGACCTTCCATCGCAATGTGGCTTTTCCGGGGCAACGGTGCGCAAGGCAGAAGCAACACAATGTGCCGGCTGCCAGGGCAGAAGAGGGGCTTGGTCTGGACATGAGGTGTGCGACTGAATGCCCTGCCTTGCATGAAAGCCCGCTCGGAAGCCAGCAACCCTTTCGCAAGCTGTGGCGGAGTATTGGGCCAGAGGGTCAGATTCCTGACGGCATTCCTAGCTCTTCGGCCTGCTGCCTGGGGCTGCTGCTGGCCGGGCTGAGGGGGCAGTTCCTGAGCCCGGCCCGAGAGACGGGCAGGAAGGGAGTGCAGCCGATCGATCGTGCAGCAAGCGGTAGGTGCGACTACACTGAAAGGAAACTTTCTGGAGCGGGCGGCGCAGTGCCGCCATTCTGCAGCCCACCCTCCCAGGCAGCTGGGCTCCTCCG